GGAAGAAGAACATAAATTTGATATTTGTCATGAATGACATGACAAATACTGTATGTTGACTGTATGTAGAATACACACTCACTATACAGTTTGGAATGGATATTAAAAGCCTTTGAATCGAAAACGTGTCACACATTTCCTCCTGACACTGCTATCCAGGCAAAGTCAGTGATGTGGTTTGGATCTGTGTCCCTATAAAAAATCTCATGTTGAATTGTAATACCCACTGTTGGAGGTGGAGTCTGATGGGAGGTGACTGGATCATGGGGGTGGATCCTTTATGAATGGTATAGCACTATCCCCTTGGTGCTGTGTCATTATAGAGTTCTCATGAGATCTGGTTGCTTTAAACTGTGCAGCACCTCCCTCTCCTCTCTCTCGCTCATGCTCCTGCCTTGTAAGATGTCTGTTCCTGCTTTGCCTTCCACCATGAGTAAAAGCTCCCTGAGGCTTTCCCAGAAGCAGATGCCTCCATGCTTCCTGTACAGCCTGTGGAACCACGAGCCAATTAAACCACTTTTCTTTGTAAGTTAGCCAGTCTCACATATTTCCTTATAGCAATGGAGACTGGATTAACACAGTCTTCAACTCAATGTGATCTGCCTCCAACAACACACAACTCAGCCTATAGCTACTCAATGGAAATCACTTCAGTAGATTGGTGGGCCAAATTTAAATATCAAAGAGATTCAAATCCCTGAGTAAAGCAGAAAATTCAACATCTGAGTATTTGAATCCTAACACTTTTTGGTGAGCAAAAGAACGGAAGTTTAAAAATAACTAAATGGGTATTATCAAGTGTTGTGGGAAGTCAGGGACCCCGAACGGAGGGACCAGATGAAGCCACAACAGAAGAATATAAATTGTGAAGATTTCACGGACATTTATCACTTCCCCAATCAATACTCTTATAATTTCCTATGCCTGTCTTTACTTTAATCTCTTAAACCCATCATCTTTGTAAACTGAGGATGTATGTCGCCTCAGGACCCTGTGATAATTGCGTTATCTGTACAAATTGTTTGTAAAACATGTGTGTTTGAACAATATGAAATATGGGCATCCTAAAAGAACAGGATAACAGCAATTTCCAGGGAACAAGGGAGATAATCATAAGGCCTGACTGCCTGCAGGGCCGGGCAGAACAGAGTCATATTTCTCTTCTTGCAAAAATGAATGGGAGAATTATCACTGAATTCTTTTTCTCAGCAAAGAACAGTCCTGGGAAAATAATGCATTCCCAGGGGAGGCCTCTAAAATGGCTGCTCTGGGAGTGTCTTATGCAGTTGTAGATAAGTTAAGAAGTAGATAAGTTAAGAAATACGCTCTGGTCTCCTGCAGCACCCCCAGGCTTGCTAGGGTTAGGAAATTCCAGCCTGGCAAATTCTAGTCAGACCGGTTGTCTGCTCTTGAACACTGTTTCCTGTTAAGATGTTTATCAGTGACAATGTGTGCCCAGCAGGACATGGACCTTCATCAGTAATTCTAGTTTCACCCTGGCCTTGTGATCTCACTCTGCCTCTCTGCCCTTGTGATATTTTATTGCCTTTGAAGCATGTGATCTCTGTGACCCACACCTTATTCATACACTCCCTCCCCTTTTGAAATCCATAATAAAAACTTGCTGGTTTTGCAGCTCAGGGGGCATCACAGAGCCTGCCAACGTGTGATGTCACCCCCCGGAGACCTAGCTGTAAAATTTCTTTTGTACTCTTTCTCTTTATTTCTCAGACTAGCTGACACTTAGGGAAAATAGAAAAGAACCTATGTTTAAATATTGGGGGCTGGCTCTCCCAATAATAAAGTGTTACATTTAAAAGTTCTAAAGTTAGAGCCTCAGAATCTTTTAGTTTATGTACTAATGTGAACCAGTTAGCTACCAAATAAATTTCTTCAAATGCTATAATTGACTTGTAACAGAAAATAGCTATTTCCCATCATAATTTCATAACAGATTATCCTGGAATTTCCTTGGAAAAGGGTGGAATATTCAGAAATTAACAGTCTTCCAAGAAATCTGTTTTGTATTATATTTAGAGACACAGTTCTTCAGTTTATCTTAGTTTTTTAAAAAGCCAATAGAACCATACATAAGTATAATTTGAACTTTTTTCATTTGATACCAAACTTTGATACCTAAACAAAGTAGAAAGGAAACTTTTTTAAGTTTAAAAAATAGATTCTAACAAACATTTCACCAAACACAGCTGTTTCTAGGTCACAAAATTGACCATTACAAAATATTTTAATGTGTTTTCTGGCAAACAAATTGCCTCATTTCATGGGAAGGCCACATTTCCAGTTATTACTGATAGTTTATAAGAGTTTAAGGATATATAAACAATTTCTATGATTTCTATATCAGAAAAAGAAGGTAAGATAGTATTTAAATCTCTTAAAATATGTAAGATAGACCTTACTCATGTCATGGTAGTGTATTTCACGCCACAGATTGCAAATTAACAACCAACAGTATAACTACACTCTGCAGGTGTTTTTAGTGTGCACAAGTTTTTTTAAAAAAAATAGAGAATTCATTGGCAACACTTAAAAATTGGGGCCAGTCATGGTGGCTGATGCCTATAATCCTAGCTCTTTGGGAGGCTGAGGAGGCAGGATCACTTGAGCCCAACAGTGAAGGACCAGCCTAGGCAACATAGTGAGACCCCATCTCTACCAAAAAAAAAAAAAAAAAAAAAAAAAAAAAAAAAAAAAGCAGTTATTCAGAAGGCTGATATGGGAGGATTGCTTGAGCCTGGGAGATGGAGGCTGCAGTGAGTTGTGATTATGCCACTGGACTCCAACCTGGGTGACAGGGTGAGACCCTGATAAAAAAAAGAGAGAGAGGGAGAGAATTGGTAGGTTTTACCATAAAAATCAGAATTTTTCACTTTTCTTCAAAAATTATTACACTTGATGACACTGGATTCATATTCCACTGGATTCACTGTTGCAAATGCAGCAATCAAGTGGCATTTAGCAGAGACTGGCTTTCAGAGCTACCATAAGAGTACACTTTTAAAAAGGGGCACAGTCTGACCCATTCATTCAATGTGTGCACACATACCAAGACAACTATTTGACTCACTCATGATAGATTTATGGGCCTTGTGGGCATTTGAGATTGGTATCTTGCTTTATAATTTATATATACATACATATGTATCTATTACATATAATATTTAATACATAAAATTTATATATAAATTATAACCTTATAAATTACAAAGGTTATAATTTATATATAGGTATATAAATATACACACATATGTACATACAGTCATGTTCTGCAAAATGACATTTCAGTCAATGATGGACCACATATGCAATGGTGGTTCCATAAAATTATAATGGAGCTGAAAAATTCCTATTGCTTACTGACACTGTAGTTGTCCTGACATTGTAGCATAACACATTAGTCATGTGGTTGTGGCCATGTTGGTGTAAACCAACTTATTACACTGTCAGTTACATAAAACTATAGCACAGTACAGTGATGTCCTAGGCCTTCACATTCACTCACCACTCACTGACTTACCCCAAGCAACTTCCAGTCCTGCAAGCTCCATTCACAGTAAGTGCCCTATACAGGTATGTCTTTTTCTTTTATACCATATTTTTACTGTACCTTTTCTATGTTCAGATACATTTAGATACTTAAATACTTACCATTGTATCACAGTTGCCTATAATATCAGCACAGTAACATTCTGTACAGACTTGTATCCTAGGAGCTATAGACTACACCATATAACCTAACGGTGTAGTAGGCTATACCACCTAGGTTTGTGTAAGGTACCCTCTATGATGTTTGCACAATGATTAAATAGCCTAACAATGTTTTTCTCAGAACATATCCCTCTTAAGTGACACATGACAACACCCATATAGAACTATATATTTATATAACTCTCTCTCTATATATATGTGTGTGTGTGTGTATATAGTTAACAAGGATATATATGTAGAAAATATTTTGAACTTGTAGTTGACTTTTTCCACAAATATGTATATCTTTTCATATATATTTATAATGCCATGGCTCTTTGTTTCTAAAACAAATGAGTATGTAGCTGAATTTCTATTTTATATATGCATACATGTATATATATACACACATGTGTATACACACACATGTATATGTGTATGTACATACACATACATGTATATACATATGTATACATATACGTATATACATATGCATGCACATATACACATATACATATATATGTATACATATATGTATACATACATATATACATATGTATACATATGTGTATACGTGTGTGTGTGTGTAGAAAATGTCATTCACTTGGTTGAAAGAATGGCTCCCTGGTTCTAAAACTGTTGCACAAACTTTTTGGAATGTCTTATTCCTTGGGATTGTGTCTGTCTCTCTTGCCTATCTCTGTACCTATCTGAGTATAAGGCTATATGACTGTATCATTTGATGTTTAGAACTTAATACTTTAAAATTCTAGAGATTTCTTACTGTTTCCCTATTAACCTTTGATAATTTAATGAAAAGATCATATAAATGTGTCCGGAGCTGCACGCCCCGGCCATAGCGAATAATAATTAAAGATTAAACGCCTGAGCTGTTTTCATTTCCACCCCACACCTTCTCCCTAGATTTACCTTCTTCCCTGTATTAATACCGCCATTAAAAGATGGCGCTCTTCCTGCTTCTTCATTCATTTTTCCCGCGCCCGCGAAAAGACTACCTGACTGCGCAGGCGCAACATGACGTCCGACCGGAGAAACCGAAGCCTATCTGGCCACGCCTTCCACAATGAGGTCATTTCCGCCTTAGCCCAACCCCTTCCCCTCCAAATGTATATAAGGCATTGCATTACCGCCATTAAACGAGACTTGATCAGAGCACTGAGCACTGTCTTGTCTCCATTTCTCGTGTCTCTTGTTCCCCAAATTCCCACTCCCTCCTCCAGGGCCTACACTGACTATCCCGCGGGCCGGGATACGTGGCGCCCGAACAGGGACCTGGAAATGAGGGACTCCGTGAGGAAGAGGACGCCAAAGGACGGTCGACCGCTAACGAAGACAAAAGGAGTCAAACTCTTCCGATCACCGCTGGAACCTGCCGCGTCAGAATCGAAGGTAAGTGACGTGTCCGAAATGGGACAAGAATTAAGCCAACATCAAATATATGTAGGACAATTAAAAGAGGCTTTAAAGATACGAGGAGTAAAGGTTAAAGGTAATGATTTGTTTAAATTTTTTGATTTTGTAAAAGACACTTGCCCTTGGTTCCCACAGGAAGGAACTATTGATATTAAAAGATGGCGTAGAGTAGGGGATTGTTTTCAGGACTATTATAATACTTTTGGGCCAGAAAAAATTCCTGTAACCGCCTTCTCTCATTGGAACCTCATTAAAGATTTAATAGATAAGAAGTAGGCCAATCCGCAAGTCATGGCTGCGGTCGCTCAGACAGAGCATATTTTAAAGGTTAGCTCCCGCTCTAACCTCACAAAGCCTCTGCAAGATACGGAGGAAGATCTCATTTCCCTCGAAAGTGATCATGAGGAAATCAAGTCTCCTTCTGTAACAGATAAAGAAATACCACACGAAAACAAACCAAAAAAATACCCAATTTTACAGATGCTTCAAAAGGAGGAGGAAATAAGCCTAATCAATTGGATATAAATTGGGATGATTTAGAGGAAGAGGCGGCTAAATATCACAACCCTGATTTGCCTCCCTGTTCTTCATACCCACCCCCATATAATAAGACACATAATGAGGCTTCTGTGCCCATTGTTATGGCAGCAATAGATCCCAAAGAAGAATTAAAGCAAAAAATTGCTCAACTAGAAGAACAGATTAAACTTGAAGAGTTACATCAATCATTGATAATTAGGCTCCAAAAGCTAAAAACAGGAAATGAAAAAATACCTAACTCAGACGCTATGGAGGGTTCCTTGCGCCCACTTCAGCGGCCTGGACAACATGTTCCAAGAGGGGGGTTAGTTGCTAGCCGACATAAAGAAGACTCCTCCCCCAAAGACGTTTTTCCGGTCACTGAAACCATAGATGAACAGGGACAGGCTTGGAGGCATCATACTGGATTTGATTTTACTATTATAAAAGAGTTAAAGACTGCTGCCTCTCAGTATGGGGCTACTGCTCCATATACTCTTGCTATAGTGGAATCTGTAGCTGAGAATTGGCTCACTCCTACAGACTGGAATACCTTAGTTAGGGCAGTTCTTTCTGGGGGAGACCACTTGATTTGGAAGTCAGAGTTCTTTGAAAATTGTAGAGATACAGCTAAAAGAAATCAACAGGCAGGAAACGGTTGGGATTTTGATATGTTAACTGGTTCAGGTAATTATGCAGACACTCAGGCCCAAATGCAACATGACCCTGGACTGTTCTCACAAATCCAGGCTGCTGCTACAAAAGCCTGGAGAAAACTTCCCGTTAAAGGAGATCCAGGGGCCTCACTCACAGCGGTTAAACAAGGACCCGATGAGCCATTTTCAGACTTTGTGCATAGACTTATGACCACGGCAGGTAGAATCTTTGGAAATGCAGAAACGGGTGTAGATTATGTTAAACAGTTAGCTTATGAAAATGCTAACCCCGCCTGCCAAGCGGCAATCAGACCTTATCGAAAGAAAACAGATTTAACAGGATACATTCGCCTTTGTTCAGATATTGGGCCCTCATATCAACAAGGCCTAGCAATGGCCAGTAAGAGATTTCCTCATTAACAAAGGTAAAGATAAAGGGGGATGTTTTAGATGCGGTAAAAGGGGACACTTTGCAAAGGATTGCTGTGAAAACCAAAATAAGAGTCCAGAAGCAAAAATCCCAGGCCTTTGCCCAAGGTGTAAAAGAGGAAGGCACTGGGCAAACGAATGTAAATCTAAAACTGACTGTCAAGGAAATCCTTTATCCCCCAGGCAGGGAAACAGGATGAGGGGCCAGCCTCAGGCCCCGAAACAAGCATATGGGGCAGTCAGCTTTGTTCCAGCCAGCAACAGCAATTCATTTCAAAACTTAGTAGAGCAACCCCAGGAAGTGCAGGATTGGACCTCAGTTCCACCTCCCACACAATACTAACACCTGAAATGGGACCGCAAACCTTAAATACCGGAATATATGGACCCTTACTACCTAACACTTTTGGGCTACTTTTAGGAAGAAGTAGTGTCACCATGAGAGGCTTACAAGTCCTCCCTGGAGTTATCGATAATGATTATGAAGGAGAAATTAAAATTATGGCCAGAGCTATTGATAGTATTATTACTGTCCCTCAAGGAGTTAGAATAGCTCAGTTACTCCTGCTACCTTTGGTTAAAACAGATAATAATATCCAATACTCTAATAGAAATATAAAAGGTTTCGGATCATCAGATATATATTGGGTGCAACCAATTACAAATCAAAAACCCTCTCTAACCTTATGGTTAGACGGGAAGGCATTCACTGGACTAATAGACACAGGGGCTGATGTAACTATCATTAAACAGGAAGATTGGCCCTCTCATTGGTCTACCACAGAAACTTTAACTCACTTGAGAGGAATTGGACAAAGCAGTAATCCTAAACAAAGTTCTAAATACCTAACATGGACAGATAAAGAAAACAATTCAGGCCTCATTAAGCCATTTGTCATCCCTTACCTACCTGTTAACCTTTGGGGGCGAGATCTACTCTCTCAAATGAAAATTATAATGTGTAGTCCAAATGATATAGTTACTGCACAAATGTTAACTCAAGGATACACCCCTGGTAAAGGTCTTGGAAAAGGAGAGAATGGTATCCCCCACACCCTATACTGGTTTCAGGACAACTTGATAAAAAGGGGTTTGGAAATTTTTAGCTCAGGCCACTGACATACCTGCACCCCAAAGGTGCGCTGACCCCATTACTTGGAAGTCAGATGAGCCCGTTTGGGTTGATCAGTGGCCTTTACTCAATGATAAACTAAGTGCTGCCCAACAGTTAGTGCAGGAACAACTAGCAGCAGGACATATTGAGGAAAGTAATTCCCCTTGGAATACACCTATTTTTGTTATTAAAAAGAAGTCTGGTAAATGGAGACTCTTACAAGAATTAAGAGCAGTAAATATCACTATGGTCCTTATGGGTGCCTTACAACCAGGATTGCCTTCACCGGTTGCGATTCATCAAAAATATTTTAAAATCATTATTGACCTTAAAGATTGCTTTTTTACAATTCCCCTTCACCCTGCTGACCAGAAAAGATTTGCCTTTAGTCTTCCATCTACAAATTTTAAACAACCAATGAAGCGCTATCAATGGAAAGTCTTACCTCAGGGTATGGCCAATAGTCCTACCTTGTGTCAAAAATATGTAGCTGCCGCTATAGAGCCAGTCAGAAAAACATGGGCACAAATGTATATTATACATTATATGGATGATATTTTAATAGCAGGAGAAATTGGCGAACAAGTCTTACAGTGCTTCGCCCAACTCAAACAAGAGTTAACAGCACCGGACTACAAATAGCCCCAGAAAAAGTACAATTACAAGATCCATACACTTATCTTGGTTTCCAGATTAATGGACCCAAAATCATTAATCAAAAGGCCGTTATACGTCGTGATCATTTAAAAACTTTAAATGATTTCCAAAAATTACTGGGAGACATAAACTGGCTTCGACCGTACTTAAAGCTCACCACAGGAGAGTTAAAACCTCTTTTCGATATATTAAAAGGAGACTCTAATCCAAAATCCCCCAGGTCCATTACTAAAGAAGCATTAATAACACTCCAACAGGTAGAACATGCCATTGCAACACAATTTGTTACCAGTATTGATTATTCTCAGCCATTAATATTCCTTATTTTTAACACAACTATAACCCCTACTGGCCTATTTTGGCAGAACAATCCCATTATGTGGGTACACCTGCCCTCCTCCCCTAAAAAGGTTTTGTTGCCTTATTATGATGCCATAGCTGATCTAATTATCTTGGGAAGAGAAAACAGTAGAAAATACTTTGGAATAGAACCCTCTACCATTATACAGCCCTACACTCAATCACGCATCCATTGGCTGTTACAAAATATGGAAGCCTGGCCCACGATTGTTGGCTTTGTCTTAAAATGGGCCCCCCTATTCCTCTAGCCATACCTAACCTTTCATTGCCCTATGTCAATTACTCAAATGAATCCTTAGTAAATAATTCCTGTCCTATTACCCCCCCCGCTTAGTTCAACCGATGACGTTTTCTAATTCCTCTTGCCTCTTTTCACCATCATATAATAACACTAAAGAAATTGATTTAGGCTATGTTGTGTTTGGCAACTGTACTTCCATAATCAATGCCACCAACCCTTTGTGTGCTATAAATGGCTCGGTTTTCGTTTGTGGAAACAACATGGCATATACGTATCTACCTACAAATTGGACAGGGCTTTGTGTTCTGGCCACTCTTCTCCCTGACATTGATATCATCCCTGGAGATGAACCTATCCCCATCCCCGCTATTGAACATTTTATTTATAGGCCGAAACGAGCCATACAATTTATTCCCTTGTTGGCTGGACTAGGAATCACCACTGCTTTTACTATAGGAGCCACAGGCCTAGGAGTTTCACTAACCCAATATACCAAATTATCCAATCAATTAATTTCCGACCTACAAACCTTATCTAGTACTATACAGGATTTACAAGATCAAGTAGACTCGTTAGCTGAAGTAGTTCTCCAGAATAGAAGAGGTCTAGATTTGTTAACGGCAGAACAGGGAGGGATATGTTTGGCTTTACAGGAAAAGTGCTGTTTTTACGCCAACAAATCCGGAATCGTCAGAGATAAGATAAAAACTTTGCAAGAAGAACTAGAAAAGCGCAGAAAAGGCCTGGCCGCCAATCCACTATGGACTGGACTCGATGGACTTCTCCCCTATCTCCTGCCATTTCTTGGTCCTTTACTCACTCTTCTACTCTTCCTCACTCTCGGGCCTATAATCCTTAATAAGCTTATGGCATTTGTCAGACAACAAATTGAGGCCTTCCAGGCCAAACCTATACAGGTCCATTATCATCGCCTTGAGATGACTGAAAATGGTGAGTCTTATTTACCTTAATAAGACCACCTCCCCTGTGTGCTGAACTGGACAGTTAATGACGGGTAAGAGGACACTATCTCCATCGGAGCCTAAGACAGGAGGGCCGCCCTTGCTGCTGCCTTATCCCATGACGGGCCTAGAAGGTGGGGGTGAGTTGACCCAACCTAAGACAGGCGCAGTTCCCGAGGGGTTTTCTTATCATAAAAATATAAAAAGGGGGACCTGTCCGGAGCTGCATGCCCCAGCCATAGCGAATAATAATTAAAGATTAAACGCCTGAGCTGTTTTCATTTCCACCCCACACCTTCTCCCTAGATTTACCTTCTTCCCTGTATTAATACCGCCATTAAAAGATGGCGCTCTTCCTGCTTCTTCTTCATTCATTTTTCCCGTGCCCGCGAAAAGACTACCTGACTGCGCAGGCGCAACATGACGTCCGACCGGAGAAACCGAAGCCTATCTGGCCACACCTTCCACAATGAGGTCATTTCTGCCTTAGCCCAACCCCTTCCCCTCCAAATGTATATAAGGCATTGCATTACGCCATTAAACGAGACTTTATCAGAGCACTGTCTTGTCTCCATTTCTCATGTCTCTTGTTCCCCAAATTCCCACTCCCTCCTCCAGGGCCTACACTGACTATCCCGCGGGCCGGGATATAAATGTGAATTTGATCCTTTGTTCACTAATCAAAATATTTTAAAATTATAGTAAAAGATTTTGCTACTTGGATATTAATGTGTACTTTCAATACAACAAAACATACATCATAGAACAAAAAAAGGTTAAAAAGATTATGAAGACACTGTGAGAAAATGTGTTGGTCAGCTAAATGTTGTTAGGGCTGAAAAACAGGAAACATTCAATTAACATGAAAACCTTTCTCTTATCTGTTATCCTTGCAGTTAATGATCCCTTTGGCACCGTACTTTATGAGCTTTGACAAAAAAGCAAATTATAATTTGTGAGGGAAATGCAGACAAATTCTGAAAAACTTGCCCCAGCAGTTATTTTAGCAAAGGTTTGAGCCAAATAGGAAGTAAACATCCAGTAATGTAGGCAAATGAGAAAATTATTTCCAGGGAAGTTAAGCACCAGCAGACTAGGGATTCTAAGAGAAGAGTTATCCAGACAAAAATAAACTTGAGAAATTGCATAATTTCTAGCTTCCAGTGAGATAAAAGACTGACAATTCCATTAAGAGGGGTCCATTTCCATCTTTTTTTCACCAGTATATTCCCAAACTCAAGATGGTTGAGAAACTTGAGCAAGGTCACAAAGCTGGCCTGAGGCTTTGTAGGGACTTGATCCTATAACTGATTCACTTACTAGTTTTTATAAATGAATAACATAATCTTGCTGATGGCATAGAGACAGTGTGAAGCACATTTAGAAAACTTTAGGTAGCCCAGTTTGGCAGGCATAAAAGACCATCTGGAGGTGGACACTATCCAAAGAAGAATACTATGTCAAATTAATGCTGTGAGGAATGGAGGGTGACGAAGCTAATTGCACTATAACTTATTGTATAAAAGTAAGAGATAATGGTCAAAATTACAAAAAAAGAGGGGACAAAGTCATTATATAATGGTATGAATATAAAAATAACCATTATAACAAAAGCACAAATCTTCCTAAATTACAGAAGCTATACTATGAATTCAAAAATGACATTTACAAATATAATGAAAGGATAAACCTTAAAATGAGTTATTATAGGAAGAAGGAGGAAACAGGGTGGGGGGGTGGTTAGGGATACAAGCTGGAATTCTTTAAATATACTTTGTTTTGTAGATATGATCTAGAACAATGTAGTACTTTATTAAATTAAGAAGCAATTATTAGAATTTGAAAAAATAAACCAATTGAATATAACTATGTATCAAAGTATAACTTCATGGAAAGGAACCATTCCGATTTGAATAGGAATCCTAAGTAGACTTTACCCTAAGGACAAAAAGACCTGCAACTATTTTTTTATAATCACATTGTTGGTAGTAGTATTATTCTGAAACAGTTATGTGTACACTGTGTGATAAAGTCAATGAATAATTACATAATGTCATTGAAAACTAGTATTTTGATGTGGAGAAAAGAGACATCTGTAAGACTGAAGAGGTAAAATAAATTCCCTGTGTAATTATTGACTTTGAATTGGCAATATTATGATGTATTTTATATATACATTATCTTTCCTAGTTCTGTCATTAAAAAGGCATAGAAACAGAGATTAACCTAGCAGCAATGAGTGCCTCTTATTCCGAGATTCTAGTCTCTAAATACCATTTCCCACTTAAAGAAAAAGGGGAGGCTCCTTTGGAGAAATGACTGATTCCAAGTTTTCAGCATGGAAACAAATAAGCCTCCAATGCTTCTATCACATCAGAAAGCAAGAAATCTACCCAAGACTACTAGAATCATGTCAAAGCGATTTGGAGTCATGTCAAAAGGCTCCTACTACCCCAAAAATGGGCCAGGAGGACTGGCAATGAGCTAACAATTACAAAGGATGGGAATAACTATGTTTAAGTAAATGAGTTCACAGTAATACTTAAAAAAAAACTCCAAAAAAACAAAAACACCCCCCAACACCTCTCACCTTTGAAGGATACTGGGGAATCAATTAATCATTCTGAAAACTTGAAAATCAAGCATTTATCATGCCTCTACAACAGGGTAACCAAATAACTGAGTGGAAGTTTCTCTTTTTAGAAGGATTCTAATTAATAAATGAAGAGAAAATAATAGTATTCTAATATTGTCATTTAAAATCCCTAATGAATTAATAGACCCAGGCAAGGATTATCAATAGCAGGTAACATCACTAAAAGGGAGACAACCAATATCATGTGCCTCCTGATGAAAGTTCATGTAACCAAGAGGCATCACATTTTCTGAATTCGAACTATACTACAAGGCTATAGTAACCAAAATAGCATGGTACTGATGCAAAAAATGACACACAGATCAATGAAACAGAACAGAGAACTCAGAAATAAAGCCATATACTACAACCAACTGATCTCCAACAAAGCTGACAAAAAGAAAGAATTGGGAAAGGACATCCTACTCAAAAAATGGTACTGGAAAAAGTGGCTAGCCATATGAAGAAGAATGAAACTGTACCCCTAGCTCTCACCATATATAAAAATTAACTCAAGAGAGATTAAAGACTTAAATGTAAGACCTCAAACTATATAAATCCTAAAAGAAAACTCTTAAACATTAGACTAGAAAAAAAATTTATGACTAAGACCTCAAAGGCAAATGCAACAAAAACAAAAACTGACAAATGAAATTTAATTAAACTAAAGAGCTTCAGCACAGCAAAGAAACAATCAATGGAGCAGACAGACAATCTACAGAACGGGAAAAAATATTTGCAAACTATCAGGCTGACAAAGGACAAATATCCAGAATCTGCAAGGAACTTAAATCAACAAGCAAAACACAAAAAAACTCATTAAAAAGTGGGCAAAGGACGTGAACAGACGCTTCCCAAAAGAAGACATATGAGTGACCAATCATATGAAAAAATGCTTGTCATCATTAGATAAATGCAAATGAAAGCCACAATGGGATACCATCTCACACCAATCAGAATGGCTATTATTAAAAAGTCAAAATATAGTATGCTGGCAAGGATGTGGAAAAAAAGGAATCCTTATATACTGTTGGTTGGAATTAGTTCAGTCCCTATGGAAAACAGCATGGAAATTTTTCAAAGAACTAAAAATAGAACCACCATTTGACCCAGCACTCCTACTACTGGGATTCTCAAAGGAAAAGAAATCATTCTATCAAAAAGACACCTGCACTGCTATATTTATTGCAGCACTATTCACCATAGCAGTCATGGAATCAATCTAAGTGTCTATCAATTAAGACTGACTAAAGAAAATATGGTACATATACACCATGGAATACTATGCAGTCATAAAAAAGAATGAAATCATGTCCTTTGCAGCAACATGAATGCAGCTGGAGGCCATTGTCCTAGGTGAATTAATGCAGAAACACAATCAAAGTCTGCATTTTCTAACTTATAAGTGGGAGCTAAACAATGGGTACACATGGACATAAAGATGGAAACAATAGACACTGGGGACTTCAGAATGGGAGGGAGGGCAGCGAGGGTCTAAAAACTGCCTACTGGGTACTATATTCACTATTTAGGTGATGGGTCCAATAGAAGGCTAAACCCAGCATTATGCTATATCAATATACCTGTGTAACAAACCTGTACATATAGCCTCTGAATTTAAAATAGTTAAAAAGAAATGATAAATGTTTGAGATGACAGCTATGCTAATTAACCTGATCTGATTACTATACATTATATGTATCAAAATATCACTATGGGTAGGGCAAGGTGGCTCATGTCTGTAATCCCAGTAATTTGGGAGGCTGAGGTGGGAGAATTGATTGAAACCAGGAGTTGAAGACCAGCCTGGGAAAAGTGGTGAGACCTTGATTCTACTAAAGGTTTAAAAAAAAATTAGTTAAGCATAGTGGTGCACACCTGTGGACTCAGCTACTTGGGAGGCTGAGGTGGAAGGATGCTTGAGCCCGGGAAGTCAAGGCTGCAGTGAGCTCTGATTGTGCCACTGCACTCTAGCCTGGGTAACCAAGTGAGATCTTGCCTCAAACCACCACCACCAGCACCACCACCACACAAAAAGCCATCACTATGTAAACCATAAATATGTACATGTGACAACAAAATTTAATAAAAGCCTGAACAACAACAACAAAGTTCATGGCACCACCTAGAAAGCAGCCTTGGCAAAAAAAAAAAAAAAAAAAAGAAAAAAATGTAAATGTGACCTGGATAAAACATTTATGCACTAAGGCTCTATGAATATAATGGAAATACAGGCTTACTAATAAGCAAAATCCAGATTATGGAAAAATTTATGGGACAAATGGTCCAGCTTCTTAAACACAATTTTCTATTACATTGCCACATTACCTTACCTCTCGCCCTGTAGGCTAGAATCTGCTAATGACACTTACAGGCTTAGCCAATAACCATGGAGAATTTACTCTTTTTTTCTTTTTTGTTTATTATTGTTTGTTTACTTATTTGAGACATATCACTGTGAATGGGATTTTTTCTTCAATATGTTTTTTAACTTGTTATTATTAAATAGGAAAGCTATATATTTGTATATTTATATTGTAACTGGTCATCTTATTGTACTACAATATTATTTTGTATTTTTATGTAGGCATTTTGTCAGCTACAGATAATGGTCATTTGTTCTTTCCCATATGTATGCATCATTTTCTAAGTGCCTTGGTAAACATTTTCTGAATTATATGCAATGATCATGCTCATATCAGGCACCCTTTCCTTATTTCTGATTTTAATGGGAACACTCCTGGAGTTTCACAATTAAGCATGACATTGGCTATTTGTTTGAAGTGAGTGTTTAAAAGAGTAAATAGGCTGGGCACGGCAGCTCACATCTGTAATCTCAGCACTTTGGGAGGCTGGGGCAGGCAGATCACTTGAGGTCAGGAGTTCAATACCAGCCTGGCCAACATGGTGAAACCCATCTTT